CGAATACGTTTAGTAAAAGGCAAAAGATTCGTTCCAAAAATTTTTAGTAAAAAGTGAATGATTCAATTAGAAAATCTTTAGTAAAACGAGAAAGATTCACTCAAAAAATCCTTAATAAAAGGTAAAAGATTGATTTCGAAAATATTTAATAAAAAGTGAAAAATAGATTCCGAAAATCTTAAGTCCAAGGCGAAAGATTAATTTCCAAAAATCTGTACGTAAAAGGCGAAAAATTTATTCCGAATACGTTTAGTAAAAGACAAAAGATTCATTCCAAAAATTTTTAGTAAAAAGTGAATCATTCATTTTGCAAATCTTTAGTAAAACGAGAAAGATTCACTCAAAAAATCTTTAATAAAAGGTAAAAGATTGATTTGGAAAATATTTAATAAAAGGCGAAAGATTGATTCCGAAAATCTTTAGTCCAAGGCGAAAGATTAATTTCCAAAAATCTGTACGTAAAAGGCGAAAAATTTATTCCGAATACGTTTAGTAAAAGGCAAAAGATGCATTCCAAAAATTTTTAGTAAAAGGTGAATGATTCATTTCGAAAATCTTTAGTAAAACGAGAGAGATTCACTCAGAAAATCTTTAATAAAAGGCAAAAGATTGATTCTGAAATATTTAGTAAAAAGCGAAAGATTGATTCCGAAAATCTTTAGTCCAAGGGGTAAGATTAATTTCCAAAAATCTGTACGTAAAAGGCGAAAAATTTATTCCGAATATGTTTAGTAAAAGGCAAAAGATTCGTTCCAAAAATTTTTAGTAAAAAGTGAATGATTCAATTAGAAAATCTTTAGTAAAACGAGAAAGATTCACTCAAAAAATCCTTAATAAAAGGCAAAAGATTGATTTGGAAAATATTTAATAAAAGGCGAAAGATTGATTCCGAAAATCTTTAGTCCAAGGCGAAAGATTAATTTCTAAAAATCTATACGTAAAAGGCGAAAAATTTATTCCGAATACGTTTAGTAAAAGGCAAAAGATTCATTCCAAAAATTTTTAGTAAAAGGTGAATGATTCATTTCGAAAATATTTAGTAAAACGAGGGAGATTGACTCAGAAAATCTTTAATAAGAGGCAAAAGATTGATTCCGAAATATTTAGGAAAAGGCGAAAGATTGATTCCGAAAATCTTTATTTCAAGGCGAAAGATTCATTTCCAAAAATCTGTACGTAAAAGGCGAAAAATTTATTCCAAATATGTTTAGTAAAAGGCAAAAGATTCGTTCCAAACATTTTTAGTAAAAGGTGAATGATTCATTTCGAAAATATTTAGTAAAACGAGGGAGATTGACTCAGAAAATCTTTAATAAGAGGCAAAAGATTGATTCCGAAATATTTAGGAAAAGGCGAAAGATTGATTCCGAAAATCTTTATTTCAAGGCGAAAGATTCATTTCCAAAAATCTGTACGTAAAAGGCGAAAAATTTATTCCAAATATGTTTAGTAAAAGGCAAAAGATTCGTTCCAAACATTTTTAGTAAAAAGTGAATGATTCAATTAGAAAATCTTTAGTAAAACGAGAAAGATTCACTCAAAAAAACCTTAATAAAAGGTAAAAGATTGATTCCAAAATATTTAATAAAAGGCGAAAGATTGATTCCGAAAATCTTTAGTAAAAGGCGAAAGATTCGTCCCGAAAATAGTTAGTAAAAAGTGAAAAATTTATTCTGAATATATTTAGTAAAAGGAAAAAGATTCATTCCAAAAATTTTTAGTAAAAGGTGAATGATTCATTTCGAAAATGTTTAGTAAAACGAGAGAGATTCACTCAGAAAGTCTTTAATAAAGGGCAAAAGATTGATTCCGAAATATTTAGTAAAAGGCGAAAGATTGATTCCGAAAATCTTTAGTCCAAGGCGAAAGATTCATTTCCAAAAATCTGTACGTAAAAGGCGAAAAATTTATTCCGAATATGTTTAGTAAAAGGCAAAAGATTCATTCCAAAAATTTTTAGTAAAAAGTGAATGATTCAATTAGAAAATCTTTAGTAAAACGAGAAAGATTCACTCAAAAAATCCTTAATAAAAGGCAAAAGATTGATTTGGAAAATATTTAATAAAAGGCGAAAGATTGATTCCGAAAATCTTTAGTCCAAGGCGAAAGATTAATTTCTAAAAATCTATACGTAAAAGGCGAAAAATTTATTCCGAATACGTTTAGTAAAAGGCAAAAGATTCATTCCAAAAATTTTTAGTAAAAGGTGAATGATTCATTTCGAAAATATTTAGTAAAACGAGGGAGATTGACTCAGAAAATCTTTAATAAGAGGCAAAAGATTGATTCCGAAATATTTAGGAAAAGGCGAAAGATTGATTCCGAAAATCTTTATTTCAAGGCGAAAGATTCATTTCCAAAAATCTGTACGTAAAAGGCGAAAAATTTATTCCAAATATGTTTAGTAAAAGGCAAAAGATTCGTTCCAAACATTTTTAGTAAAAGGTGAATGATTCATTTCGAAAATATTTAGTAAAACGAGGGAGATTGACTCAGAAAATCTTTAATAAGAGGCAAAAGATTGATTCCGAAATATTTAGGAAAAGGCGAAAGATTGATTCCGAAAATCTTTATTTCAAGGCGAAAGATTCATTTCCAAAAATCTGTACGTAAAAGGCGAAAAATTTATTCCAAATATGTTTAGTAAAAGGCAAAAGATTCGTTCCAAACATTTTTAGTAAAAAGTGAATGATTCAATTAGAAAATCTTTAGTAAAACGAGAAAGATTCACTCAAAAAAACCTTAATAAAAGGTAAAAGATTGATTCCAAAATATTTAATAAAAGGCGAAAGATTGATTCCGAAAATCTTTAGTAAAAGGCGAAAGATTCGTCCCGAAAATAGTTAGTAAAAAGTGAAAAATTTATTCTGAATATATTTAGTAAAAGGAAAAAGATTCATTCCAAAAATTTTTAGTAAAAGGTGAATGATTCATTTCGAAAATGTTTAGTAAAACGAGAGAGATTCACTCAGAAAGTCTTTAATAAAGGGCAAAAGATTGATTCCGAAATATTTAGTAAAAGGCGAAAGATTGATTCCGAAAATCTTTAGTCCAAGGCGAAAGATTCATTTCCAAAAATCTGTACGTAAAAGGCGAAAAATTTATTCCGAATATGTTTAGTAAAAGGCAAAAGATTCATTCCAAAAATTTTTAGTAAAAAGTGAATGATTCAATTAGAAAATCTTTAGTAAAACGAGAAAGATTCACTCAAAAAATCTTTAATGAAAGGTAAAAGATTGATTCCGAGAATATTTAATAAGTGGCCAAAGATTGATTCAGAAAATCTTTAGATAAAGGCGAAAGATTCATTCCGCAAATAGTTAGTAAAAATCGAAAAATTTATTCCGAATACGTTTAGTAAAATTGAATGATTCATTTCAAAAATCTTTGGTAAAACGAGAAAGATTCAATCGGAAACTCTTTAACAAAAGGCAAAAGATTGATCCCGAAAATATTTAGTAAAAGACGAAAGATTCATTCCGAAAATCTTTTGTAAATTGCGAAAAATTCCGTCCAACGAACGATTTAATCCAAAAATCGTTAGTAAAAAGTGAAAGATTCGTTCCGGTAATATTCAGTAAAATTTCACTATTTTTATTAAGAATCACGTATTTATACTAAATGCTGGATAAATAATCAGTTTGACTTTTAATCTTGTGTTATGAGTATTACATTAAATAATAATTAATTTTTTTCTACAGCCACAATAGTTTAACAAAACGTAAAAAAACATACAGCTTCAACAGGATGGTGCTCCACCGCAATGCAATGAAGGCAAGATTAGCGAAATATTTAGATATGTAGATGCGAAAAAAGTCTTTAATCGAGATTCAATTAAAAAAAAAATGGTCGAAAATGATTTAGACAGAACTTCCCTCACCTCTCGAGCACAATCAAGGCCCAGTGTCTTAGAAGAGTAATTTTGAGATCAAATTTTTCAAATCGTAGAAATTAAAATTGTCAAAAATCGTAGAATTTGTCACCAAAAAAAATCGAATGGCAGTTATATAACTTACTAAAGAAAACAAAAAAACGTTTCTGATTGCATCACCGACTTGTGTCTGATTTTTGTTCTTATCTTCGCGGTTAAAGATTTTATGACTCCGATGTTTAACTTTATCACCACTCTATGTACACACCTTGTGTTACATTCAGGAACTCCCAAATATTTAAATACGCTTGATTTCAGTTTATACAGCAATACTTAAGCCAGTTTTAAACAACCAATCAAACACAGTCACTGCAACATTTAAAAGCCTTGATTTCCATAGCCTCCCCAACTACTTTTTTTTTTCTTGTTCGACACAAACAACCACACAATTCCACAATAAATAACACCGACCTCTTCGCACAATCTTCGTTAATAATATAATAACATAACAATAAACAAATCGCGTGCCAGTCCCAACTTCCGTGCAAAAATAAACATCCAACACAAACCCACAATTCACGGAGTGACACGAATCAACAAAATCGCCCCTAATTAACCCCATTCGCCCCGTTCGCCCCCTCGGTCCGCCCCCAGTCGAAGACGTTGGCCCCATTCTAACCTCTCAAGTCGCCACTTTCGAAACAAAACAACATCGCGCGAAAACCCCGCCAAACTCACCTGATTTTCCGTGGAAACGTCCGCCTCACGGCCTTTTCGTCGACATTCTCGCGAAAAAATTAAATAAACACTTCCATATTGTTACGATTTGTTTTTAATCACCACCATAATCAACACCGTTTTCTCGCACCGATCACCGCTCTCTACCTGTGCGGGTTTGACAATTGACAACTCAGGTGGGAGTACCAACGTAAGGTAAACAAAACCCGACAGGGATTTGCGGCACGGATTTTTAATGCGAAAGAAAACGTTAATTAAAAGAACACGAGTTGAAAATATTGGTTTTATGTGAGTCATCAGGGATTTTAAATTCCGCGAAGCGCGTTCTGGTTTGGTTGTGTCGGGTTTGAATTTGGCGGGCGGCGTCGATAACCAATCACGTCGCGGAATGACGAAGCGGATGACAGCAATCAAAAGATTAGTTTTGACGTATGGTATTTTAGGTTGCTTTGCATTTTGTAAAAATCGTTTAAAATCCCGCATTTTCGATTTGGAGCGTTGATTTCTGTAAGTAAACACGACTTTCGTGGTATCGAATTCAAAAACTATTGATCCGAATGGCCACCTAACGACCACTTCCGCCTGACAACAGGAACAGGAAACCTTTCATCATGGAGGTTATTTTCCTGTGCGACCCATTTCAAAAATATCATTCGATGTTTTGATATCGCGATAACAACGTTGTGATGATGTTTTCAGATCATGTTAAAGTTTCCATTGGTGGAAGAGGAGTCCAAACACAGTTTATGTGCAAAGTTTATTTTGACCAACAATTTGGAGGCGGTGGATGGGGCTGAACTTATTCCGGTACGTTTTATTTATTTATTTATTTGTTTATTTATGTGAAAAGCGATATTGTAGATTGATTGCGGAGGCCGACTGATAGCCCCAACGATTTCCGTGAATGAGTTGGGCAAACAGTTGTTGAAGGCCGCGGCTGAAGGAAACATCGAAGAAACTAAATCTCTGCTCAACAAGGGGGCGCTGTTCACAGCGGACTGGGTAAGCCACCCTCTTGAACCACACTCGTTTCTAATTTAAACCCACAGCTCGGCACCAGCCCCTTGCATCTAGCAGCCCGAAACAACCACCTCGAAGTCGTGGAAATTCTCCTGAAAGCCGGAATTTCGAGAGATGCGCGCACTAAAGTCGACAAAACGTCCCTACACATGGCGGCCGCCGAAGGCCACCTCAATATTGTCGAAACTTTACTTGAGTATGGCTCGGATCCGGATTGTAGAGACCTGGTAGGTTTCCACTAACTTTTGTGTGTTTGTGTTAATGCTAAATTAGTTAGGAATGACACCGTTGCATTGGGCGGCCCAAAATGGTCACTCGGAAGTTGTGGCAATTTTAATCAAACATTTCGCACAGACAGACCCTTTGAACAAGTTCGATTTAACACCGGCTGATATCGCCACACAGATGAATCGACAGGATATTGTCGAGCTTATTAATGTTGACGTGAATGAGCCCTCAAACGCTGCACAACATCTTACCTTGGAGCTTGTCGAGAACGGCGAAGAGACAGTGGTGACAAGTACGGAGCAGTTGAGTCAGGCGTCGGCTTCAAACTCACCTATACCTTTAGGTAGTTGAAATTTTGGGTAATTTTTGTGTTATAGTTGTGTTTTTAGAAACGATTTTAATGGAAGATACAGAAAGTTCAATTGATCCAGAGAGGTTACATTTAAATAAAGCGCCAGGTAAATTTAGTTCTAGTTTTGTATTTTTTCCACAATCTGTCTAAAATAATAAATTATTACGAAAATATTGATTACCTGACGACACGTTTTCAAATTTGACGTAATGTCATTTTTATTAACCATATGTCAACTTCAATTTTTATGTCACAGCCACCTCTGATAAAATTGTAAGTGTCGTTTTCGTTTGAATCGGGAGTTCGAAAAGCTTCGTGTTTAGAGTTGGCTTTGAGTAAAAATTGAATTTGAGTTACCAATGAAAAACTCGTACAGGTGAACACGAACCCACGACGGAAAACCACGACAGTACTTTCGCAGAGTCCATCCGTCTGTTACAAGAGCACGGAATAACGATGCTCCCCAACGAGGACAACAACATTCTGACGACGGTGATGGAAACCGGTCACTCGGTTGTTTTGACAGACGCCGGCAAGCAAGTTTTGAACGCATTTAAAGAATCCGAAGAAAAAGCTAACAATTTGAATAAAAAAATTATAACTGTGACCCCCGAGGAGTTCCTGTCGATGACGAGTAGTTGTGCAAACAAATCAAAAAATATTCTCAGGCAAATTAATGGGAGACTGGTGCCTAGGAATGTCAAAAGGATCGTTATGAAGAAGAATAAGTTGATTCCCGTGTCGACTGTAAACAATGTAGGTTGCGTAGCTGCTGAAACACGTGGGTTGAGTTGAATTGTTGTAGGTGTATAAGATCGCGAATTCCAACTGCGTGACGGACATGGAAACGGTGATGACGCAGTTGATAGAAGCTCGGAAAACTATAGAAGAGTATAAAGTGAAGTTGTTTAAGAAAGAGCAAGAGGCGGAGCGGTACAAACAGCAATTGAAATTGCTTATGGATGATAGCTAGTAGTCGGTTGTCGTTTTAAATGCCATATTCGTTTGTAGTTAAGTGATTTTTATACAACGTATACTTTTATAAGCAAGTTTACTATTTTTCTAATCAGGTGAAACGAATGTCTTCTCAAAAGTTTGTTGTTGAGTATTCCCGAGTTATTTATTATGTTTCCGTTTTTATAATGTTGTTGAACTGATGTAAATACAAAATTTTGATACGTGTGTTTTTTTGGGGTGAAACAAAACAACTTATTTATAATAATTTATTTAAGTATATGCAATCAGTAACACATTGAATACCCTTCATTAGGTGGACCGTACGGAAAAGAGGAAAACATTAATAGATTAACACAAAACTATATTTAAATAAACGTGTAACAAACTGAAAGTACCTTAAAAGAATACATTGATTACTTTTAAAAATTTACTTAATAGTGTTATTGTAGAGTACATACACGTAACTGAAACTGTGAAAATTGAAACAAAATTTAGAACCCGAAACAAGTACACAAACAATGTTATAGAATACCTATTCAGTGAAAGTTGCAGAAATCCTTTTTTGATAAAGTAGAGTCAGTAGCAACTTAATAACGATAGGCGTGGCTGTAATTTAGAAGCACAGAAAATAGCTCATCAGGTATACACTTTTTTGCGAAGGCGCTAGTCAATAAAGCTTTGTTCCACACACGCTTTTACTCGCTTCTCGTATTCTCTTCTGTTTTCTTTGTAGAGTTGTGCGGCCATCGAGTTCGCAGGCGAATTGGGGTTGGGGTCGCTGAGTAACGACTGCAAAACATAGCGAATTTAAGCGCAAAATAATTATTAATTGGTTCAATATTTTTGGGTGAGCTTGTACCCATTACCGGGTCAATACTTTTCAGAAAATCTGTACTTAATAAAAAATTATAAACACGCAAAATTTAAATTTGTTATTAAAATTACACCAAATGAAAATAATTTTGTTCTTTGTTTGAGATCAGCTGTCAGATGTTTTGTGATGACGTCATAACCTTGATGCGTCACCAAAAAATCTCACTGTATTTCTCATTGTTTTTGTCAATTTCATGAATTCTTTACCAACGTATTTTATACCGTTTGGACACACTGTAGAATGAATTGGACTTTAGAAACCCATAAATATCAAGTAGACCAACGTACGTAAAACGACTCAGAACTGAATGAAGTCTTATTAATAACTCAACTTATTTTTAATGTGGGTGATTATGTAATTTAAAAGTACACAAATTCAGTCAGATGATAATTTTTTCTAAAATAATAAATCCAAGCACAAACGTCAGTATTTACAAAAGCTGGAAACTTAATCTTCGTATGAATAGAGAGACAATGAATAATGATTAGTTTTGAAATTATTAACTTAAGTTAGCTTTCCAGTATAACAAATTCAATAACTGAGTACAAATGAAACTTGAAATGTTTGCAGAAACTAGTACTTTGATAACTATGAAACTAATGAGTGCTATATTATAGCTTAATTTTTTTCTTAGTTTTGAGCAGTTTTTAAAACAGCAGGACTCTGATTGAGACAATTTTTTCCTCTCAGTCTGCTCTCAATTCAGGTTAAGCCAGCTGTCAATGACCTACTTACTTGAATTGAAGTTAAAATCGCCGACACGTCGTACGTGGGGCTCCACCTGTTCTGTAAAATATCTAAGCAGATGCCCCCATCGGCGTATACATTGGGGTGAAACATGTGACTCACGAACCGGACCGTGGGCGGTTTATTGGGATATTCTTCTGTGAATTCGATAGTTAATTTAAATGTCCCGTCTTCGAACGGTGTGTCATGTGGTCCGAAAATGACGGCATTCCATATCATAATGTTATTGTCTGTGGGTGCTCCGCTGACACCAGTTGGGGGGTCTTCCTGCAACCTGCAACCGCCACAAACGCGTTATTTACAAAGAAGGGGGCCCGAAATCGAAAACCGTGGCCGATTTTCGCCCCAAAACGCACACATTTTGGAATACTAACCGTTTGAAATCTCTCATGAGGCGTCGTCGCGCTGGAGTGGACATTTTTTTAGAGAATAAATTAAATAAAAAAACTAGATAAAGTTTCGGTGTAAAGCGGCTAAATTATATAAATACGGAAATTTACAACTGTACAAATCAATTTATTTTACTATAAAACACTATGAAACTCGCACTCGCATGACATACAAGAAAGGACGACTTATAAACAAAAATAGCACTAAGATTATCTCAGGATGATGAATAGGTTATTTCGGTTAGGGAGTTTCGGCGGAGTGACCGAGGTTGGTCGTGTCGCTGTCACTCCGAAAACGCGCGCGAAGTTTGACTAGAAATAATTTAAACGCAAACGAATGTTTCTTTAGGGATAATAATAAACCTGAAGTGCCAATTTTTGATTTTACGAACGTCTGGGTCAATAAAAGACATAACCCAAAGTACAAATTCCACTCCAGAGTTTTCTTGCGAATGTTGATTTTCATTACTGTTCATCGGATCTGTTCCATAGGCGAACCTTTGTCTGGAGTGGGAGGCAAAATCAGCAAAATATTTTTTTATGAAGAATAAAAAAAAAAACACTCAAACGACTACGTGTAACGTGTTTTCGATTACTTTTAAATATATATTTAAACCCACTAAAATAAACACTGTGTTTGGACAAATTAACGTCTCGTACTAGTTTTAACCAAAATCGACATGAAAAGCTCCTATTTTGACAGTTAAATGTCAATAATAATGTTTCTATGTTCAGCTCTAAATTTACACATGGTATCGTGCAGAAATACAAGAAATACAAATAGTTAGTATTAATTAGTGACCATAACCACTAATTAGAATTTTGCAACATTTTTTTTTTATATTTTGTTTTTTTTTTCTTAATATACGTAGTCATCTTTTCACAATAAAAATTTAACATAGATGACTACGTATATTAAGAAAACTAGGCATAATATAAACCCCGCCCACCCGCCCTGTCTCAATCGTGATGATATTTTTTTTACTTGTCGTAAGTTGTGGGGCGCAGCGTAATTGCAAAACCATTGTTTTTCTACGAAAAATTGCTATCACAATAGAGGTAGGGTGTGTGGGCGGGGCTTATATATTGTTTTTTTTTTTGTCTTAATATGCGTAGTTATCTTTTCACAACAAAAAATTAAAATAGGTGATTACGTTTATTAAGAAAAAAAGGGCATAACATAAGCCCCGCCCACCCACCCTACCTCAATCGTGATGATTTTTTTTACCTGTCATAAGTCGTGGGGCGGAGCTTAAAACAAAATCTTTGTTTTTCTACGGGAAATTGCTATTGGGTAATCGTCTTCTTTAAAACCCAAAGATAAGCCCCACCCATCCGTCTCGATCTCAATCTGCCTTTAATTTTTAATATATATAGTATTTTTTTGAACAACACGATTCTCAAAAACATGTACTATATGGTAATTTCTTGTAGAGAAATAAGGATTTTCCAGTTAAGCTCCGCCCTCTTGGCTCACGGCGAATATAAAAATCATCACAATTGAGACAGGGCGGGTGGGCGGGGCTTATATTTTTCCTTATTTTTCTTAATATACGTAGTCATCTTTTCACAGCAAAAATTTAAAACAGATGACTACATACATTAAGAAAAAAAGGCATAATATAAACCCCGCCCACCCACCCTATATCAATCGTGATCATTTTTTTACCCGTCGTAAGTCGTGGGGCGGAGCTTAATTGCAAAATCCTTGTTTTCCTACGGGAAAATTGTTGGGTGAAACATATTCTTGAGTAATCGTCTTTTGTAAAGCAAACTGTATATATTAAATAAAAAAAAAAACTAAAAGATAATAAACCCCATCCAACCGTATTGATCTCAATCTGTCTTTAATTTTTAATATATATGTATAGTATTTTTTTGAACAACACGATTCTCAAAAACATGTCTTATATGGTAATTTTTTGTGGAGAAATAAGTATTTTGCAATTAAGCTCCACCCTCTTGGCTCACGGCGAATACAAAAAGCATCACAATTGAGACAGGGCGGGCGGGCGGGGCTTATATTTTACCCTATTTTTCTTAATATACTTAGTCATCTTTTCACAACAAAAATTTAACACAGATGACTACGTATATTAAGAAAAAGAGGAATAATATAAACCCCGCCCACCCGCCCTGTCTCAATCGTGATGATATTTTTTCTACCCGTCGTAAGTTGCGGGGCGGAGCTTAGTTGCAAAACCATTGTTTTTCTACGAAAATTTGCTATCACAATAGAGGTAGGGTGGGTGGGCGGGGCTTATATAATGCCTTTTTTTGTCTTAATATACGTAGTCATCTTCTCACAACTAAAATTTAAAATAGATGTTTACGTACATTAAGAAAAAAGGCATAACATAAGCCCCGCCCACCCACCCTATCTCAGTCGTGATGATTTTTTCACCTGTCGTAAGTCGTGGGGCGGAGCTTAAAACAAAATCTTTGTTTTTCTACGGGAAATTGCTATTGGGTAATCGTCTTCTTTAAAACCCAAAGATAAGCCCCAGCCATCCGTCTCGATCTCAATCTGCCTTTAATTTTTAATATATATATAGTATTGTTTTGAACAACACGATTCTCAGAAACATGTATTATATGGTAATTTCTTGTAGAGAAATAAGTATTTTGCAACTAAGGTACCTTGGCTCACAGCGAATAAAAAAAATCATCACATTTGAGACAGGGCGGGTGGGCGGGGTTTATATTTTCCTTTTTTTTTTTCTTAATATATGCAGTCCTCTTTTCACAAGAAAAATTTAAAACAGATGACTACGTATATTAATAAAAAAAGGCATAATAGGTATAAGCCCCGCCCACCCGCCCTATCTCAATCGTAATTATTTTTTTTTATCCGTCGTAGTTGTGGGGCGGGGCTTAATTGTAAAACCCTTGTTTTCCTACGAGAAATTGTTACGTGAAATATGTTCTTGAGTAATCAATCGTGTTGTTTAAAACCCTAAGATAAGCCCCACCCATCCGTCTCAATCTCAATTTGCCTTTAATTTTTAATATACATAGTATTTTTTTAACAACGCGATTCTCAAAAACATGTCTCATATGGTAATTTCTATAGAGAAACAAGGATTTTGCAATTAAGCTCCGCCATTTTGGCTCACGACGTATATAAAAATCATCACAATTGGGAAGGGGTGGGTGGGCGGGGCTTATATTTTTCCTTATTTTTCTTAATATACGTAGTCATCTTTCACAACAAAAATTTAAAACAGATGACTACATACATTAAGAAAAAAAGGCATAATATAAGCCCCGCCCACCCACCCTATCTCAATCGTGATCATTTTTTTTACCCGTTGTAAGTCGTGGGGCGGAGCTTAATTGCAAAACCCTTGTTTTCCTACGGGAAAATTGTTAGGTGAAACATATTCTTCATTCAATCGTCTTTTGTAAAGCAAACTGTATATATTAAGTAAAAAAAAGCTAAAAGATAATACACCCCACCCATCCGTATTGATCTCAATCTATCTTTAATTTTTAATATATGTGTATAGTATTTTTTTGAACAACACAATTCTCAAAAACATGTATTATATGGTAATTTTTTGTAGAGAAATAAGGATTTTGCAATTAAGCTCCGCCCTCTTGGCTCACGGCGAATACAAAAATTATCACAATTGAGACAGGGTGGGTGGGTGGGGCTTATATTTTGCCTTTTTTTTCTTAATATATGTTGTAGTCATGTTTTCACAACAAACATTTAACACAGATGACTACGTATATTAAGAAAAAGAGGAATAATATAAACCCCACCCACCCGCCCTGTCTCAATCGTGATGATATTTTTTCTACCCGTCGTAAGTTGCGGGGCGGAGCTTAGTTGCAAAACCATTGTTTTTCTACGAAAAATTGCTATCACAATGGAGGTAGGGTGTGTGGGCGGGGATTATATATTGCCTTTTTTTGTCTTAATATACGTAGTCATCTTTTCACAACTAAAATTTAAAATAGATGATTACGTACATTAAGAAAAAAGGCATAACATAAGCCCCGCCCACCCACCCTATCTCAGTCGTGATGATTTTTTTTTACCTGTCGTAAGTCGTGGGGCGGAGCTTAAAATAAAATCTTTGTTTGTCTACGGGAAATTGCTATGTGAAACATGTTCTTTAAAACCCAAGGGTAAGCCCCACCCATCCGTCTCAATATATATAGTATTTTTTTTAACAACGCTTTTCTCAAAAACATGTATTATATGGTAATTTCTCGTAGAGATATAAGGATTTTGCAATTAAGGTACGCCCTCTTGGCTCACAGCGAATAAAAAAATCATCACATTTGTGACAGGGCGGGTGGGTGGGGTTTATATTTTCCCTTTTTATCTGAATATATGTAGTCATCTTTTAACCACAAAAACTTAAAACAGATGACAACGTACTTTAAGACAAAAAAACATAATGTAAGCCCCGCCCACCCACCCTACCTCAATCGTAATGATATTTTTTAACCCGTCGTAAGTCGTAGGGCGGAGCTTAATTGCAAAATCCTTGTTTTCCTACGAGAAATTGCTGTCTGAAATATGTTCTTGAGTCATCGTGTTGTTTAAAGCAACCTATATGTATTAAGTAAGAAAAGAAAACCAAAAGATAAGCCCCGCCCATCCGTCTCGATTTCAATCTGTCTTTAATTTTTAATATACATAGTATTTTTTTGAACAACGCGATTCTCAAAAACATGTCTTATATGGTCATTTCTGTAGCGAAACAAGGATTTTGCAATTAAGCTCCGCCCTCTTGGCTAACGGCGAATACAAGAATCATTACAATTGAGACAGGGCGGGTGGGCGGGGCTTATATTTTTCCTTATTTTTCTGAATATACGTAGTCATCTTTTCACAACAAAAATTTAAAACAGATGACTACGTATATTAGAAAAAAAGTATAATATAAGCCCCGCCCACCCGCCTTATCTCAATTGTGATCGTGTTGTTTAAAGCAAACTATATCTACTTATTAAGTAAAAAAGAAAACCGAAAAATAAGTCCCATCCATCTGTCTCAATCTCAATCTGGCTTTAATTTTTACTTAACGTAACTGAAAAAAAGGAATAATGATCTATCCATTAAAAAAATGGTGCAAGTGGAAGTATTCGCTGAATTGATAACCTTAAACACAAATTGACAGTTCAATGACATTTCGATAACCCTAATCCGATAGCAGCTGCTGTTGACAAATAATGACCAAACCACCACAAAATTAACGAAAATCTCAATCCCAGGCTGTCTCACACCATGGATTTCCCAATAGGTGAGCCTCCTTTTATACCACAATTAATCACACTTGCTTTTATATTTGTCCCACAGCCCCCCCGAAAGAACGCACTCTGGGTGACGGCATCGACAGCTCCTTGCTCAAACTCTCAGAATCCGCCCTAACTCGCAATAACCTCAAAATGAACCTCCACCTCTCAAACGGCCCCATCACATTCAGGCCAATAGAACCCAAGTGCCAAATCTTCACTCTGAAGCCAGTTTACGTCAGTAAGGAGCGCAAACAACCCAAATTCCTAATTCGGAAACCCAAAGAACCCAAATTCGTCCCGTACGAACCCTACAAAGGCGCCGTGGAACCCATCATCGCCCACAAGACCGAAATAAAGAAACTCCCGGTGAAGTCGTCGCGGAACAACGTGGAGATACAGGATTTGGTGGCGCAGATGGCGCAGATGCGGTCAGTGGAGATGAATAAGGCGAACGAGGAGGCGGTGCAGAACGACGAGCCCCTAATTTCTAGAAGACAGTGGGAGCAGGAGAGGTTGGGGTACGAGACGGATATTAAAAATTTAAGGGAGACGAATTCGCATTTGGAAAATCAGATTAAGTTTCAAGCGCAGGTTAGTGGTGGGTTTGGTGTGTTGGTGATGTAGTGTGGGTTTTTGTGTAGGTTAACAGCGAATTGAAAACGTTGTTGGTGGCTGCTGTGGGTGAAGATTTGGAAAGTCGGGTCCAGCATTTGACTGAAGACAAGTTGCAATTGGCGAGGGCGTTACTCAATTCTGCTAATCATTTGACGTCGCATCAGGAGCAGACGGAGTGGCTGTCGGGGCAGTGTGAGGTGTGGAGGAGCAAGTTTCTGGCTTCTAGGTATTTGTATTTCTCTTAATAATAACAATTATTATTACTAATTTTTTTATTATAGTTTAATGGTGGAAGAATTGGCCCGTTGGAAGTCAGCCCTCACCAGCCGCATTAATGAGCTCCAGGAAATCGTTAAAAAGCTCTTGGATGAGAGATACAGGGTACAAAATAAGTGTTTGAAAACTTGTTGTTTGTTGCAAAGCACCAGGAAGAAGTTAGTTGGTGATGAAATGCAACAGTGTGATTTAAATAGTTCTAATATTGTTGACTTAAGCACTTTAAATTATAGCTTAACTCAAGATATAAGTCAGTTAGTTGATATTGATAATAAAAGGTGTGATGATTTGTATGAAAGTTATGGCACGTTGTCGCAACATACAGGGATAGAAACAACTGCCATGAAGGTAATAACTGGGTTAAGCTAGTTTTCAATGTCTGAATTGTATTGTTTCAGCTGCTTCAAAATCCTGTTACCATTTCCAACAAACAGGATGCAATTTGTAATGCATTGATGGGTACTGCATTGTCACTGAGTGGTGAACAGATTTATCTCAAGAGTCCAGGTCAAGCCAGTTGTTGTCCACATTGTACAGGGGAAATAAAAAATATATGACATTAGGTCAATGGGTTTTGATATTATTTATGAAACTGTTTTTGTACAAAATAAAGCATTTTTTCATAATTTGTATATTACTTTCCTACTCCCACGGGTAAAAATATGAGTCAGTTTTAAGTACAGTGTGTTAAAATAAATCCTATTAATAAATATGCAACTAATTTGACATCCATGTTTAATTTATTAGGTTATGGTGGGTCAGGTGATTATTTTAAAAAAGAACATTAAGAATGCGAGCGCAGTGAGCACGTTTAGGTGTTATTAAAAGTGACTCATCAGTGCGCGTTTTCTCTTGTGTAATAAGTCTAGAGATTTATTATTACAACAAAACTTGGACAGCTTGGCTGAGATTCTTTTTTACTTACTTCTGTGAAACTAAGACTAAACTAAAGAAAAAACGTCTAGAATGCGAGCACAGCGAGCACGTTCAGGTTTTATTAAAAAAAATGGTCAAATTTGTAAAATTTTAAGGAAATAGGGTGCGCTGTTCTTGTCTTAATCAATAAATACAATAAATAATAAAATAAAATCAATAAAATAGAGTGGTTCATTAATTAATTTTACCCGGTATATGTAATAGTACAAAATATGAATGCACTGATAAACCAGAAAGAGAAGCCCCACCCATCCGTCTCGATCTCAATCGTGATAAATTTTTCATTCGTTGTCAGACCGAGGGGCGGAGCGTAATTGCAAAACCGATATGTCCTGTACAAATTTACCACATGTTTTAAGTTTCTTGTTGTGAAAAGATGACTACACATATTAAGAAAAAAGGGCGAAATGTAAGCCCTGCCCACCCGCCGTATCTCAATTGTGATGATTTGTTTATTCGTCGTGGGAGGGGCCTATTTTTTGACTTTTTTTTCTTAACATCCACAGTCATCTTTCAATAACACGATACTTATAACATTTATTCCAGAGAAAGAAGGATTTTGTAATTAAGCTCCGCCCTAGGGCTCACGACGAATAAACAAATCATCACAATTGAGATACGGCGGGTGGGCAGGGCTTACATTTCGCCCTTTTTTCTTAATATGTGTAGTCATCTTTTCACAACAAGAAAGTTAAAACATGTTTAAAATGGTAAATTTGTATAGGAAATATCGATTTTGCAATTACGCTCCGCCCCTCGGTCTGACAACGAATGAAAAATTCATTATGATTGAGTTCAAGACGGATGGGTGGGGCTTCTCTTTTGGTTTTCTTTTTTAATTAATACATTTAGTTTTCTTTGTATAACACGATTACTTCACGTGGTAATTTCTAGTAGAAAACTAAAGATTTTACAATTAAGCTCCACCTCGAATATAAAAAATCATCAGAATTGAGATAGGGCGGGTGGGCGGGGCTTATATTTTGCCTTTTTTTTTCTTAATATACATAAGCATCTTTTTACAACAAGAAACTTAGAATATGAATAAAATGGTACATTTTTGCAAGGAAATATGGATTTTGCAATTATGGGGTGGAGCCTAATTGCAAAATCGATATTTTGTTATACAAATTTTTCATTTTAAACATGTTTTAAGTTTCCTGTTATGAAAAGAAGTCTACATATATTACAACAAAAAGGCAAAATGTAAGCCCCACCCACCCGCCCTATTTCAATTGTGGTGATTTTTTTTATTCGCCGTGAACCCAGGGGCGGAGCTTAACTGCAAATGCTTTATTTTTCTTCAAGAAATTACCCTGCTTAACTGCAACCTACTTATTTCTTTACGAGAAATTAAAAACATGCTTTTGAGTATGGTGCTGTTCAAAGAATAATATGTATATTAAGAAAAAAAAAGGCAAAATATATAAACCCCACCCACCCACCCCATTTCAAATGTGATGATTTTTTTATCCTCAGAAACTTGGAACACGCTAAAAATGGTAAATTTTTTAAATAAATATGGGTTTTGCAATTAGGTTCTGCCCCTAGATTTGCTAACGAATGAAAAGTTCACTATTATTTAAATCAGAGCAGGTATGGGTGGGGCTTAATCTTTGGCTTTAATTTTTCCTTAATATACGTACATCGGATTCTTTGAATAACAGGATACTCAAAAACGTGTCTTACATGGTAACTTCTTGGAGAGAAATAACAAGGATTTTGCAATTAAATTCCGCTCCTTTGGCTCCCGACGATAAAAAAAATCATTACAATTGAGGTAGGGTGGGTGGGCGGGGCTTATATTTTGCCCTTTTCTTAATATACGTAGTCGTCTTTTCAGAACAAGAAACTTAAAACATGTTTAAAATGGTAAATTATTCTAGATAAATATGGATCTTGCAATTAAGCCCCGCCTCTCGATCTGACAACGAATGAAAAATTCATCACAATACATAGTATTCTTTGAACAACACGATACTCAAAAACATGTTTTTAATTTCTCGTAGAGAAATAAGGATTTTGCAGTTAAGCTCCGCCCCTCGACTCACGACGAATGAAAAAGTCATCACAATTGAGATGAGGGCGGGTGGGCGGGGTTCATATTTCGGCTTTTTTTCTTAATGTACGAATGTAGTTTTCTATTCACGATAAGAAACTGAAAAAAATTATAAACCCCGCCCACCCACCCGGTCTCAGTTGTGGCGATGTTTCTTTGTTCGTCGTGGGCAAAATCGTTATTTTTCGATGAGAATGGAAATTTTTCGAAACATGTCTTAAGTAATCATATTGTTCAAAGAAAATTACATGTATTAAGTAAAAAAGAAAGCTAAGAGTTAAGCTCCACCTACGTCTCGATTTGAATTATAATGAATTTTTCATTTGTTCTCAGTCTGAAAGGCGGGGCGTAACTGCAAAATTCATATTTCCCGACAAAAATCTACCATTTTAAACATGTTTTAAGACTTTTGTTGTGAGAAGAAGACTATATTTATTAAAAAAAAGCAAAATATAAGCCCCGCCCACCCGTCCTATCTCAATTGGGATGGTTGTTTTTTATTCGCCGTGAGCCCAGGGGCGGAGCTTAACTGAAAAATCTTTATTCCTTTACAAGAAATTACCCTGTGAAACATGTTCTGTTGTTGTTGACAGTAAGAGACGGAGGGAAGGGTCTCATTTTTCTCAAAATGGTCTAATTTCAACAATATGATAAATCTTAAAACATTAAATTTTGCCTTTTTTTCGTAATTTTCTTTTCACGACAAGATGTCTAAAATGGTAAAATTTTGTCGAGAAAGATCGATTTTACAATTAAACTTTGCCCCTCGGTCGGACAACGAATGAACAATTCATCACAATTGCGGTTGGGCGGGTGGGCGGGGCTTACATTTTGCCCTTTTTTTCTTAATATGTGTAGTCATCTTTTCACAACAAGAAACTTAAAACATGTTTTAAATGGTACATTTGTATAGGAAAATCGATTTTGCAATTACGCTCCGCCCCTCGGTCTGACAACGAATGAAAAATTCATTACAATTCGAGACAGATGGGTGTGGCTTCTCCTTTGTTTTTTTTTATTAATACATTTAGTTTTCTTTGTATAACACGATTACTTAGGAACATATTTTACATGGTAATTTGTCGTAGAAAAATAAGGATTTTACAATTAAGCTCCGCCCCTCGGCTTACGACGAATATAAAAAATAATCAGAATTGAGATAGGGCGGGTGGGTGGGGCTTATATTTTGCCTTTTTTTTCTCAATAGACATAACCATCTTTTTACAACAAGAAACTTAGAACATGGATAAAATGCTACATTTTTTCAAGGAAATATGCAAGGAAATTTAGCAAAATCAATATTTCCTTATACAAATTTTCCATTTTAATAATGTTTTAAGTTTGATGTTGTGAAAAGAAGTCTACACATATTAAAACAAAATGGCAAAATGTAAGCCCGCCCACCCGCCCTGTCTCAATTGTGATGATTTCTTTTTATTCGCCAAGAACTAAGGGGGAGGAGCTTAACTGCACAAGACTTATTTCTTTTCGGGAAATTAAAAACATGCTTTTGAATATCGTGTTGTTCAAAGAATACTATATGTATTAAGAACAAAAGGTTAAATATAAACCCCGCCCACCCACCCCATCTCAATTGTGATGATTTATTTATCCTTAGAAACTTGAAACACGTTTAAAATGGTAAATGTTTGTAAATAAATATGGGTTTTGTAATTAGGTTCCTCCCCTAGGTTTGCTGACGAATGAAAACTTTATTACTATTTAGATTAGGGCAGCTATGGGTGGGGCTTAATCTATGGCTTTAATTTTTTCTTTATATATGCACACAGTGTTCTTTGAATAATATGATACTCAAAAACGTGTCTTACATGATAATTTCTTGTAGAGAAAGAGTAAGGATTTAAAAAAAAATCATCACAATTGAGACAGGGTGGGTGGGCGGGGCTTATATTTTGCCTTTTTCTTAATATACGTAGTCATCTTTTCAGAACAACAAACTTAAAACATGTTTAAAATGGTAAATTCTTGTAGATAAAAATTCATCACAATTACGAATTGAGATCTGGGCGGGTATGGGTGGGGCCTAATCTTTGGCTTTATTTTTTTCTTAATATTCATAGCATTCTTTGAACAACACGATACTCAAAAACATGTTTTTAATTTCTCGTAGAGAAATAAGGATTTTGCAGTTAAGCTCCGCCTTCTTGGCTCACGACGAATAAGAAAAATCATCACAATTGAGATAGGGCGGGTGGGCGGGGCTACATTTTGCGGGGGAATTTTGTGACGACAGTTTAATTAGCTCCCACACAGACCAATCTACCCACCTCGATCACCTTATTTGACACCTTTAGAATATTTATTTATCCCGACTTAAAAAAACATTATTTTTAAACAAACATCATTAACAATATTTTTAAACTTGAAAAATTTACAAAATTAAAAATATCAAGACGGGTTTTATGTACATTAATGTCCCTTAAAGGTAATTTAGCCACGAAAATTATTTGAAATTTGATCGTACTGCTTCAGCTTTTGTGTCTGCTCTTCTCATACAGGCAGCATTAACAAGAGTCTCTTCCATCACCAAATAACATAACGTGGAATTTAAGGTTGTTGCTACGCTAAACCGGGCAAAGAATAGCGTGGACGTAAGTTTAACAAGAATCAGTGCTGAAAAAATGGCTTGTCTGTTTATTCTTGAATAAAAGGATTGTGTATTTTTTTCTGTATTATAACCCTAAACATAATAATTTTTTTTTAACCAACAGGAAGGGTAGGTTTGTTGTTTACTAATTATTGATCACACACTTTTGTTGCGAGATTTAATAATTATCGAGAATAAACAACGTTCGTTAATATATTAGGACTAATAAACAATTTTGTTTCCCTCGACTTTCCCCGGCGCATCCACCATTTTCGCGAAATGTTTATTTAAATCCCGTGGCGTATAGATCAAATATCGAAAATAATCCAACGCAAATAACATTATTACACTGAGTATTTACACTCCCAATTACTTCCAATGTAAATCAATCTCTTATTTTCTCTCAATGTAACTAAATTTAGAAAACTGTTATAATTGGCGCCATTTGCCCAACGAGCTTATTAAGCGACCTTTCGCACCCTTGCATTTTACTGCGCTCATTTCCATCCAGATGAGTGCAACGTTTTCCATTTTAGCCCCGGGAATGTTTATACCACGAAAAGCACGTATTTTGTTGCGTTTTTGTGATGCAGCCAGAGTGCATCTTAATGTGTGACGTATATTAAAAGAGATAAAAATGTCAACATTCGTGTAATATATTTGACGGTGTAGCTCTAGCACTTATTCAAGTTGAAATCGTTCCAGGAAAGGTAGAAAGAACAATCAAAAGATGTCTGATACTTTCCGCACTATGCTCGGGCGATGTAGTGGAAGACGTGAATACACAAAGCGTTTGCAACGAACCAGAAAGCATTTTTATGCAAGGAACAGCAGTAAAATTTCAAATGAAAACAAAGTAAATAAGTTTGTGGCTGCGGGATCGATACGAGTCATTTATGTGGGCGGTGCAGCTTTGTTTGTTTGATTTAATTAGCTGAAGATTTTAATTTTTGTTAGGGTGGTTTTGAAGAGTTTTTTAGTTTAGTCGTACGCAGTGGCGGAGAGGGTTAGAGCAGAAGGTCGTTATTGTTAAAAAATTAATCAGCGTAATTAAATTTAGGGTTGATTATAAAGGGTGATTTTTTATACTTATTTCTGCTCGAGTTAGCCACATACCACTAATTTTAAAATTACGAATTTATATTAGAAAAGCGAAATTACATTTCTTATAAAATGGCCATTAGATTGACAGACGGACGAACGAGCAGACACACGGGGGACAGACAATCGGCAGACAGACAGACGGACAGATAGACAGACGGTAAACCCCGTGACGGGACAAAGAGAAAGAAAGCACTATAAAAAAAAAGAAATATAAAAAGAGAAGAGGGCGAAGAGAGAGGGAAAAAAACTGGAGAGAGGGGGGAAACTGGAGAGATAGAGGAAATCTAAATGAAAGGGAGAGTAAAGGATAAAGGGAGAAAACAAATGGGAAAGATAGAAAGGAAATGATAGAGAAAGAGAGCGGGCCAGAGGGCGACTGGAAAAGATAGGAGAAACTGTACACTGGCAGAGAGGAAACGGAAGTATGGTAGAGGAAACGGGTGGAGAGAGAAGGGAAAACAGGAGAGAGTGAAAGAGAGAGAGAACGAAAAAGGGAAAGAGAGGAGGAGCAAATGAGCGTGAGAGGGATGAAGGAAATAATAAAGAAGAGAGGAAAATAATAGAAAAACAGAGAAAATGGAAAAGTAAGGGAACGGAAAGAGTGAGAGAAAAATGAGAAAGAGCAATAGGAAAGATAAGAGGAAAGAAAAGGAACCGGTAGCATGGTATACGAAACGGAGTTAAAGGAGAGAGAAATGAGAGATAGAGAGATAGAGGAAATGATAGGGAAGTGAGGGAGAGCCACTTATAGAGATAGAGAGAGTGAGGCGACACAATGAAACGAAAAAGACAAGGGAAAGGAAAGAGTAAGAGAGAGGAAACGGAAGTTTGGAGGAAGAGAGAGAAAGAAAGAGAAAGAGAGAGAAGAGTGAAAGAGGAAGAGACAATGTGGGAGTGGGAAACAGACTGATTGAGATACAGTTAGATGAGAAACATTAGAAAAAAAAAAGTAAAAAAAATAATTTAAAGAAAAGGAGGGAAACTGCGGAGAGTGGAGAAATAAGAGACATAGACGAAATGGAAGAAAAAGAGAAAGTAAACTATAAAGACAAAAAAAAAACGGGGTAAGAGAACAGGATAGAGGGAGAAAGAGAAATAAAAATGACAAGATGATGTGGAAGCGGGGGAAGGAAATGATGGACAGAGGGAGAGAGAGAGAGTGCTAAAGAAAAACATTCGAGAGGGTGAAACGGGGAAGATTGGAAAATGAGAGAAAGTGGGAAAAACGGGTGAAATTAGGAAACGGAAACGATAGGGGAAAGAGAAGAATAAAAAAGAGTATAAGAAAATATGGTAGAGAAAACAGGTGGAAAGAGAAAGGAAAACGGGGGAGAAAAAAAAAGATTGGGAAAGAGAGAAAGGAAAAGAATGAGTGTAAGAGAGGAAGAGTGAATGAGAGAGAGAAAGGGAAAAAGGAAATGATAAAGACGAGCAGAAAATGATACGGAAGACACAGAGAGGAAATTATAGGAAGAGGAAGAGAGAGAGAGAGAGCGAGGGGAAAATGAGCGAGTGGGAAAATGGAAAAAATAGGGTAACGGGAAGAGTGAGGGACAATTGAGAGAGATAGAGTGAGAGAGTGAGAGAGAGAGATAAAGAGAGCTATGGTAAACGGAAGAAAAAGGGAAATGAGGGTGACCCAAATATAGAGGGAGGGAGTGAGAAAAAGCGCGAGTGGGAGAAAAGAGCGAGAGAAGATAACGAAAAAGACAGGGGAAAGGAAAGAGTAAGAGAGAGGAAACGGAAGTTTGGAAGGAGAAACAAAGATGAGAGAAGGGAAGGGAAAACGGGAGAGAGAGACAGGAATGAAAGAGGGGAAGAGGCAATAGGAGAGTGGGTAACAGACAGAGTGAGATACAGATGGATGACAAATCCGTTGATGAGGTAAAGATTGGACGTAAACACTTGGAAAAAACTAAAAAAAATGTAAAGAGAAAGAGGGAGACTGCGGAAAGTGGAAAAATAGGAGAGATAGAGGAAATGGAAGAGAAAGAGAGAGTAAGTAGTAAAGACAGAAAAAACGGGAAAGGATAGAGAGAGAAAGAGAAATACATAGGAAAAGATAATGCGGGAGAAGAAAATGATAGCCAGAGGGAGAGAGAGAATGAGAAAAAAAAAACATTCGATAGAATGAAACGGGGAACATTGGAAAATGAAAGAAAGTGGTAAAAACGGGTGAAAGGAGGAAACAGGAAAAAGATAGATGAAAGAGAAGAGTAAAGGAGAGGAGAAAGAAACATGGTAGAGAAAACCGTTGGAAAGATAAAGGAAAACGAGGGAAAAAAAGTAAAAAAAAAGAGAATGAGTGTAAGAGAGGAGGAGTGTATGAGAGAGAGGGAGGGAGGAAGAAAATGATAAAGGAAAGCGGAAAATGCTACGGAAAACAGAAGAAGGAAATGATAGGAAGAGGAAGAAAGACAGCGAGGGGAAAACCAGCGAGTGTGGAAATGGAAAATGTAGGATAACGGGAAGAGTGAGGGACAATTTAGAGAAAGAGAGAGAGAGAAAGAGAGCTATGGGAAAGGGAAGAAAAAAGGAGAGGAACTGGAAGCATGGTAGCTGAAACGGAGGTGAAGGAGAGAGAAATAAAAGAGAAAGAAATGTGAGAGAGAAATCGAGGAAGTGATAATGAGGGTGAGTTAATTATTATAGAGGGAGGGAGAAAGAGAGAGCGCGAGTGGGACAAAAGGGCGAGAGAAGGAAACGAAAAAGACAGAGGAAAGGAAAGAATAAGAGAGAGGAAACGGAAGTTTGGCGGAAGAAATGGTGGTGAGGGAAGGAGAAGAGAAAACGGAAAAAGAAGAGGGAGAGAGAGAAAGAGAACGAAGTAAACATGATGTGGAAGAGGGGGAATGAATTGATAGACAGAGGGAGAGAGAGAGTGCCAAAGAAAACCTTTTTAGAGGGTGAAACAGAGAAGATTGGAAAATGAGAGAGAGTGGGAAACACGGGTGAAATTAGGAAACGGAAAGGATAGGGGAAAGAGCAGAATAAGGGAGTGGAAAAGAAAATAAGGTAGAGAAAACGGAGGGAAAGAGAGAAAGAAAGAGAATGAATGGAAATGATAGGAAGGGGAAGAGAAAGAGCCAGGGAAAAACGAGGGAGTGGGGAAATGGAAAAAGTAGGGTACCGGGAAGAGTGAAAGACAAATGAGAGAGAAAAAGAGAGCTATGGGAAAGGGGAGGAAAAGAAAGAGGAACTGGAAGCATGGTAGATCAAACGGAGGTGAGGGAGACGGAAATGAGAGAGAAAAAAATGTGAAAGAGAGATAGAGGAAATGATAGGGAAGTGAGGGTGAGTCAATTATAGAGGGAGGGCGGAAGAGAAAATGTGAGTGGGAGAAATGGTCGAGAGAAAATAACGAAAAAGTAAAAAGAATGTAAAAAGACGGAGGGAAACTACTGAGAGTGGAGCAACGATAAAGACAGAAAAGAAACGGGAAAGACAACAGGACACAGAGAGAAAGATAAATATAGAGGAACATTCGAGATGGCGAAAAGGGAAAGATTAGAAAAATGTTAGAAAGGCGGAAAACGGGCGAGAGAGGAAACGCAAATATGGTAGAGAAAACTAGGGTGGGAGACAAAGAAAATGAATAAAGGAGAGAAAGAGGAAATGGGAGAGGGAAAGAAATAGAAGTAACGGACGATAGGAGGGAACGGAAATATAGGAGAAAAAGAAGAAAAAGTAAGAAAGAGGAATCGGAAGCGTGCATGGTAGAGGAAACGGGAGTGAGGGAGACAGAAACGATATAGACAGGAAATGATAGGGAAGTAAGGGAGAGTAAATTATAGAGAGGAGTGAGTGAGAGCGCATGAAAGAAAGGGACAACAGGAGGAAACGCAGAGAAATAAAGGAACAGGAAATTAGAGAGGGAGAGAGGAGGAAGAAATGAAAAGGAGAGCGAGAGGGGGAGAGAAAGAGAGAGTGAAGAAACGGGAGAAAGGAGGGAAACGGAGAAGATAAAGAAAACGGAAGTGTAAGAGAAGAAAACGGAAGGTTGGGAGAAGAAACGGAGATGAGGGAAAGAAAAGGGAAAATGGGAGAGAGAGAAGAGGGAGAGAGAACTGAAAGAGAGGATGTCGCTGATAAAGCAAAGATTGGAATCAGCGAGTGAGGCATGAATAAAGACGTAAACACTTGGAAAAAAGTCTGGATTCTGGATTCTTAATTTATGGGGGCTGACCGTAGCCAGCCGGCACTTAGGCCTCGCCTTTGGGCCCATTGTACCTTCCCCAAGTCCATATCAGGGTGTTTTCCCGCTCCTCTACTCGTCAAGCCATCCAACTGCTTGGATGTACCTGAGTAATGCAGAGGGTGGAAACTCCCTGATATTTGCCATACTAGGCCAGATGTCCCCTAGTATGGATTCCCTGTAGGAGGCTAGGGCTGGACACTCACGAAGAATGTGCTCAGCTGTTTCCTCTTCTTCATTGCATCCACGACAGATTGGGTCTGTTACTACCCCTATCGTATGTAGATGTTTGTTAAACTGGTAATGTCCCGTAAGGAATCCTACCAGTTTACGCAGTTTGTCCCTTGAAAGTGAGAGATAAAATTTTGTCAACTTACGGTCTGGTGTCGCCATACAAGCTCTACTATGCCGACAGCTGCTCAACGTCGCCCATATCTGCTCATGGCGTCTATGGGTATATTGCTTTACGAGTTCGTTCGAGAGGGCGACCGAAGGCGTGATTGCCGGTTCGGGTCCCCAGAAGGGCAATCACGGAAAAAAGTAAAAAGTAATGTAAAAAGAAAGAGGGAGACTGCGGAGAGTGGAAAAATAGGAGAGGTAGAGGAAATGGAAGAGAAAGAGAGAGTAAGCAATAAAGACAGAAAAAAAGAGAAAGAGAACAGAATAGAGAGAGAAAGAGAAATATAGAGGAAAAGATGATGCGGGGGAAGAAAATGATAGGTAGAGGGAGAAAGGGAATGCGAAAAAAAAACCGTCGATAGAATGAATCGGGGAACATTGGAAAATGAAAGAAAGTGGGAAAAACGTGTGAAAGGAGGAAACAGAAAAAAGATAGATGAAAGAGAAGAGTAAAGGAGAGGAAAAGGGAACATGGTAGAGAAAACGATTGGAAAGATAAAGGAAAACGAGGGAAAAAAAATAAAAAAAAGAGAATGAGTGTAAGAGAGGAGGAGTGTATGAGAGAGAGAGGGAGGGAAGAAAGCAATGATAAAGGAAAGGGGAAAATGCTACGGAAGACAGAGGAAAGAAATGATAGGAAGAGGAAGAGAGAGAGCGAGGAGAAAACCATCGAGTGGGGAAATGGAAAATGTAGGATAACGGGAAGCGTGAGAGACAAATGAGAGAGAGGGAGAGAGAGAAAAACAGCTATGGGAAAGGGAAGAAAAAGGGAAAGGAACTGGAAGCATGGTAGCTGAAACGGAGGTGAGCGAGACAGAAATCGAGGAAGTGATAGGGAAGTGAGGGTGAGTCAATTATAGAGGGAGAGAGAGAGAGAAATAAAGAGAGAGCGCAAGTGGGAGAAAAAGGCGATAGAAAGAAACGAAAACGACAGGAACGTAAACACTAGGAAAAAAGTAAAAAAAAACTAAAGAGAATGAGGGGGACTGCAGAGAGTGGAGAAATAGGAAAGGTAAAGGAAGTGGAAAAGAAAAAGAAAGTAAACCATAAAATCATAAAGACAGAAAAGAAACGAGGTAAGAGAACAAGATAGAGAGAGATAGAGAAACATATAGGAAAAGATGATGTGGAAGAAGGAGAAGGAAATGATAAACGAGGAAGAAAGAGAATGCGAAAGAAAAACATTCGAGAAGTCGAGACGGGAAAGATTGGGAAACTGTGAGAAAGGGGAAAATGGGGGAGAGGAGGAAATGGAAAAAATAGATGAAAAAGAAGAGTAAGGGAGCGGAAATGGAAATATGGTACAAAAAAAGGCAAGAGAAGAAAACGAAAGAAACAGGGGAAAAGAAAGAGTAAGAAAGAGGAAACGGAAGTTTGGGAGAAGAAACCGAGATGAGGGAAAGAGAAGGGAAAACGGGAGACAGAGGGGGACAGAGAGAAGGAGAGAGAAGAGTGAAAGAGAGGAAGAGGCAAGGGGGGAATGAGAAACAGACAGAGTGAAATAGATAGATCACAAGGCCGCTGATGAGTGAGGCATGAATGAGGAAATAAACATTAGAAAAAAAAAGTAAAAAAAATGAATTTAAAAGAAGGAGAGAAACTGGAGAAATAGGAGAGGTAGAAGAAGTGGAAAGAAACAGAGATTAAATGAAAAAGACAGAAAAGAAACGGAGTACGAGAACATGATAGAGAGAGACAGAGAAATACAGAGGAAAAAATGATGTGGAAGAGGGGGAAGGAAATTATAGGCGAGGAAGAGAGAGAGTGCGAAAGAAAAATTTTCGAGAAGGTGAAACGGAAAAGATAGAGGAAGCGGAAGAATAAGGGAGAGGAAACGGAGATTTGGTAGGGAAAACCAGAGTTATGGAGAGAGGAAGAAAATATGCATGGTAGAGGTAATGGGGGTGAAGGAGAGAGAAATGATACAGCGAGGAAATAACCGCCAAGTAAGGGAGAGTAAATTATAGGAGAGGTGATAGACAGCGAGTGGAAAAAAAGGGCTAGAGAAACGGAAAATGCAGCGGAAACGAAAAGGAGAATGATAGAGATAAATGGGTGAGTGACAGAGAAGAAAAACGAGAAGGAGAGAGGGAGAGGGAGAGAGAAGTAGAGACTGAAGAAACGGGAGACAGAAAGGAAACGAAGAAGATAAGTGTTCTAAGTCGTATCAATAATATATAAATTAGGTGGTTACTATTATGATGAAATGACTAAGTTTACATTTGAAATATATGTACTGGACACGTTTTTAGCCGTTTTTCGGCAACTCAAATAATTGCATCTTTGGTTGTTAT